TTCCATTTCTTCACACGTCCTGTAAGCTAGATTATAAACTTTAAATATCCAAATTATTATGTCTATTAAAATTAAACTAAGATCGAAAATGATTTTATATTTGAAATTTCTATCTTTCTTTAAAAAAAAGCAAACAATGATCATAAATTTAAGTGCTAAATTTCTAACCAATCTTCATCATTCTATTCTTTGTTTTCCAAAAAAAATGTATGAAATCTGTTACTGTCGTAAAAACAATCACTAATTATTTTACCTGTCATACAGAATAGGCCTCAACATACTTTTTGCACGAATTCCGCCTCTTATCTCACCAAGTTCATTCCTGTAGGTCAAATTAAAAAATTTGTGCAACAAAACATAATAAACTTTGAAAAATTTCGAAAATATAAAAATTTTACTCTTAGAAATTTTACAATTGTTGAAAAAAAAATATACGCAGATAGAATAATATAATTCCTCGATGAAGTTAAAAAATTATGCAAAAACAAAGGGAAGGTTTTTTGGAATTTAAAAAGATGCAATTTCGTAAATTTCATTGGGATGAATTTGTTAGCCGTGTATTTATAATAAGTAAGCAACATCAATGCCTATTATGAATTTAATTTGAACCTTTTAAAAAATTTGAATTGAATTTGTAGAAAGAATGAGACCTAAGGAATAGAGGTAAAACCTGAAATCGTGTTCATCCCATTTTTGGAAATTATCTTTCCTTGCATATCGTGCTATATCATATAATGTTGCGTAGAAATCAAATTGGGATGTATGTCTTCGAGAATTTTGTTTTAAATTCAAAATAAGCTGCTTATTTGAACGTAAATATTTTGGTAGTGCTATCTGAAGTGAAAGAAAGTTGTGATTTTTAAGTGCTAAAAAAATTTATAAGAAAAGTGCTAAACATGTACTATCTAAAAAAGTGCTATCTACAAGATTCTCTGGAGAAAATTCCAAAGAATTATCAATAAAATTAAGCATCATTTTATCATTTGTTCAAAATCAACCATTTATTGTTTGTTTTTTGTTGTAAATATGAAAGCTTACTGTAAGCAATGGATTGTTATCTTCAGTTTGACCAGGCGGAGTTTGTCGAATACCGCCAAATCGTAATCCATGGTCACCCATTACAAATATGAATGAATTCTCCAATTTTTTGGCATGTTTACGAAAAAAATCAGCAAAATACTGCAAAATATAAATGACTAAAAGAAGCTTCAGTTTCAGTTAACAGAAGTATTTCAGATTTTTTCCAACCACCGCTTACAAAATAATTAGCAAGAAATTTGAACAAAAAAGAATTTGATACGGAATGATGAAAAACAAACATTATCAGTGCGATACAATCCACTAGCCGAATCATGTGCTATCAATGATAACCATATCATAACAAATTTCGAAATTCCGTTATATTCGTCCAAGAATTTGCTGATATAATCCAATAGCTTATGATAGGTTTCCTGGCATTCACCCGTATAAAAATAATTTTTGAAAATTTTTTCGTCTCTCCTGATCTTGTCATCGGTGGATCGCAAAACCAGTGCACTTCATATGAATAAATTATATTTTCAATTTATCACTTCTCTGATAAAGTTCATACTTTCATAACTTCCACCTCAAGTGTTCATTTGATTGTTAAAAGTTATGCTAAGCTTAGATTAACGTGCTAAATGATCATTTATATGCTTTATTTCTATCTTCAAAGATCGCAATCAATCATTTTGCTATTCTATGCTTTATCTAATATATTGCTCTTTATATCAATGACAATAAAGATATAAAAACTTTAATTTCCAAAATTAGTAAAATAGAAATTGCGAAGAGAGTTTTTGATTTCATTCCAATTTTACCAAATTCCACAATTGTTCAACATCACTCTAATTAAATTACCCTGTGTAATGATCGGTTGGAGGAATGCCATAACCTTTACAATTTGGCCAATTAAATGCGCCAACCCAATCTTCCGCTATTACTGATGCATAATTTTGATCAACGAAATCGTAGGTTACAGTATCATTTCTTTTTACACCATCCTGAAAATGGAACAATTCATTGAATTTTTAATTTGACCTATCATTTGAAATAGCAGAGAGAAAGGGATGAAACGGCGGGGAATTGGAATTTTAATAACTTTAAAGTAGCAAAATGAATTGGTAATGAATTGAAAATAGTATATCGGTATGACAAGTAGTGGCCAAAAAGGAGCACTGCACGAATACTGAAAATATTGATTTAAATAGAATAAATTAAATACTAAAAGAATTGAAAAGACTAGCAAAATAATGATGAATGAGTATTTTAAATAACCATTAACATTTTGTTCACAAGGATGAATGGACATTATCCTTTTATTGATAATTATTTATTACTTCATTACTTTGATGCATTCATACTTTTATTCTTGTAAATATCGTAGCAGCGAAATGAGATAGAAAAAAGATTTAAAAGTTTGAAAGAGTACAATTATCATTCATTTGAATATTTGAACTTCTCACACCCGTGCAAAGATTGGCAGCCGATACTTTTTAATTTTTTTCTTTCATTCTTCAATGTTAAAGTATATAAGTGCAACTTACCTTACATGAATTTGGATGCTCCGATGTACTTTTACCAGGAAAACGAAACTCATCCAGTTCAGATATACGAGTTCCTAAAAAAAATGAAAAAATGGAAATTTTAACTTTTCAGGGAATAGAAATAATGAAGGTAATAATTTGGTACTCATAAGGCCTAATTTCATATTCGTGGACAGACTGGAGAAAAAGAAATGAATTAGCTGACGTATAAATGCAGAGAGCGTAAATTGTCAAATTATCAAACTAAATCACTAAAATATTTAAAATTAGGTTGAAAAATAACAAATTATCAAACAAATACGTTAAGCACAAACTTTGCTAGTAAAATACAAATAAAATTTAAAGAGCTAGTGGAAGGTAAACTAAATGATAATTAATTAAGATAAGAAAAGTGAAGAAAGTGGGCGAAAACAAAAAAAAAATGAAAAAATAAAATTCAAAAATGAAGACCAAAAAAATTGAATTAAATTAAATTATATTTAAAACCTTTTAGATTTTTTCATCAGCATAATTTGTAAGAAAAGACCTGAAAACATGGCAAAAGCATTTGGTCGACTGTTAAGGCCAGCTTTGTTGTGATAATAAAATGTTGTCGCATCGTACAATTGACGCAAAACCTCAGAATTACGACCTTTTACATGAATTTCAATAAATAGCTTTAAAGCTTACTTTCTTTTTACTTCAAATTTCATCGATTTTTGCGCCTTTTCAATTAAACTTGTGAAAATTTTTTGCAATTCCGTTATCGCTATCACCAATAACAGATATTATATAATTTGATTTGATTACACGAAACGGTAGTCATCGATAGATCTAACAATTTCTCTTAATTTTAACAGTTAAATATATTTTGCTAAGTGGAGATGATAATGAATGAAATGATTGGTAATTTCAAAAAAATAGAATACATTCAGAAAAATTACTTGATTAGTTTTCATGATTGTGCGAATTCCGGATGAAGATGAGGTTGAATCAAGAACCAAGATGAATACGCCTGGATGCAATACATCCTCTTTTTGAAATACCTTTCCTTTTGGTTTCACCACCTGAAAAAAAAGTACTTATTGAAGTGCGGAAAAGCATTTGTCACAAAATATACCGAATAAAATTATTTCAATTACTTCGAATAATTAGCATTGCAAAATAAATATTAAAAAGATCGTCAACTATGAATTAAATCAAAAATTTTTTAAAGTTAAATTTAAAAAAATGAACTTATCATTTTTATTTTTATTTTTTGATATTAAGAATATGTTTGTTTCATTGATCATTCATTTTAATTTTTTTATTATTTGAAAAAATCCCTCAAAATAAAAGTAGTCATCGATTAATTAAAATCGAAATGTGAAACGAAAATGCACTATTCAGAAGTTGAAAATAACAAGCCTGGCTGTGGATGTACTGAAAGGTTGTCATTTTATTTTTCGTGCAATGTGTTTCGATAAAATCACAGCTTTCATAATATGTTTCATTTTTCTTCATTTTAGTCCATTTATCCGTTTTAAAATTCAATTCATCATTTGTACGAAGACATCGATATTCACATTCCGAAGTTCTAAGCCATAATTTAATAAATGGATCAATTTAAGCTTTGAGAAGTTTGTACTTTAAAATAGCACCTTATGAAATTTTACTTAAAATAGAATTCCTTCAAAATTGAATAGCGTGAAAACAACGACAATAAAGACTATTAGTGAAATGAGGCAATCAATTCCATGCAATCAACTATCTATCTGTTCACACTATCTTTTTCATCATTTTTTAAAAAATTTTTCAATATTAAAAAAAATTAAATTAGCAGAAAGGAACGAAAATTTATTGTGCATTCAGATGCATGCATTTCAGGCCTTAATTAATCGGATGACCTATGTATGCATTTCAAGCCTTAATCAGTTGGTTAGCGTAGAAAACTATTTGAAAAAGATTTTAACAGTATGCGATAAGATAGAAACATACGTGTTATCAAGCATCCGAACAGTGTTGTATTTCAATTCAGTATGCATTTCGCGACTTATGCGACATTCTTTGTATGGATTCCAGTTGGGATATAAATAAGGGATAAGTTGAGGATCCCAGGGGTCAAGTTGCTTAAGACGGCATTCACTTTTTTTTGCGGCGCTTAAATCTGTAAAAAGCAATTCATTTGATGCAAAATTTTCATCAAATGGAAGCCGATTGAAAATTAAAATAAATGAATAAATAATAAAGGAAATTGTAACATACATTTCATTTTTTTTACCTTATAAAAAAATTTTTTTTTCTTTAAGCTATTCCAACTAAATTTCATTTATGAAATGTTTTAAGAAATTCAACATGTTCAAAACAGTAGAAATTGAGAATTTATATTTGAAATAAGTATATTTGTAAAAGATATTAAAAAAAATGATTACTTTGTTCAAAAAAAGGAGGAATTGATTGTTGTAAAACGACTTGAGTGTGAGCATCATGGAAAGACATATTAATTATCACAAAAACTAATCCAGTAATTAATGTAAATGCTACTAGAAATTCATGCGCTTTTAATTTTATCATAATTTCATTGAAAGACCAATAATGACAGTGGCAATAAATATCAAATATGCTGAAATAATTCTAATAAATTTTTAATTAACAGCTTTTAAATTTTTACTTCATTTCATACAATTTAATTTACAAGTAAAATTACTAATGATAATCCTTGATATTAAAACCAAACAATAATGAATTTGATAAAAATTTGATAAGCAACCATCTATTATATTCATAGTTAAATAATCCAAGAAAATGCCTACTAGGCGTTATCACTTTAACGATTTATATAACCTAACAAAATATCTCTGAGGGTTTAACTAATAAGCTAAAATAACAGCTTTTTAATCCTTTTTAAGATTTTAAGTTAGCTTTATTGTATTGCTGTTGCAACTATGCTAATAACACTGATGATATTTGATAACAGTGAAAGTGAAAGAAAAAAATTTTAAATCAAAAGATTTAGAAAAAAATGTTTCAAAAAAAATTTTTTTTCGAGTTTAAAGTCATTCATATCTATGATATTTGACAAAGTCGAAAGTAAAATTAAGGTGAAAATATAATAAGCAAGCGATTAAACTTAATTAACTCTGCTTCGATATTTTACATAACTCAATTTCATTTCTAATATATAACTATAATGTTATAGGATTTGTCATTCTAATTCCTATTAACGATCTTTTCAGTACATAAAAAACTGAATAACAATTTTTATTTTTAATCGATTTTATTCACTTTTTATTTTGTTTTATATGATATTTCTTTCCTTAAATAATGGCATTTCTCTGAAAAGCATTATAATTTAATTTACTACATGAATTAAATCAAAGTATAGGATTTTATAAATTGATGGATTTTTGATATGAATAAGGAATTGCATAAATCAAATTAAAAATAATAATGCTTAAATATTAGAAATTAAGAATATTTAACTTACTTGACAGTATTGAAACGCTGGGAAATATGAAGAACCGGCAACCGTATTACACGATATAGTGAATTATTTTACAGATCTAAATAATTTGATAACATATAATTTCAATATGCAAATTAGACAACACTTGTCAAAATTGTAATTTAAATAACATTTCGCATTCTTCTGAAACTAATATGAAATGCGTTTCGTTGAAGCACTGAACCAATCGTATTTGTAATGTAAAAATGGTTTGACGGTGGTTTCATAAATTTCTATTTATCATTTTATGTGATATGCATGCATATAAATTTAGAAATACACTGAAATTTTTAAAAAGCAAATTTTATCGAATATTTTTTGGATTATACTTTTTTGATTGATTTGTTGACAGAAAAACATCTATTTGTTCTTTTTACGATGATAGGCTTTGGAGTTAGATTTTAATTGGCAAGTAAAATATTATCTATTTCTGGTTGATTTAAAAAAAAAAAAACTAAAAACAATTAACTTTTTACAGTATCATTAAACGGAAAAAAATAAAAAACAATTTTTTAATAATAATTTTAACAAAAAAATGAAAATTCATAAAACTGGCAGAAAAGCAATTTGCACATTACAAACATACTTTGTTTAAGTATAAAATAAAGAACAAAAATTATAATCAGAATAATCATATGTTTACTTTCAAATATTTTATTAATATTTTCATCAAATTTCACTAATTAACTAAGTAAAGAATTTCACCAATAGTTCGCTGGTTCGCGGAGTATTGCATGATTAGAAAGTTGACCGCTTTATTTTCTTCGTATTAAAATGACAATCTGTTTCTGAGAAATTTAGGAAGAAGTATTTAATCAAATATGAAAAAAATATTCAACACAGCAACTTGGATCCTTTAAATTTCATTTAAATCATTAATCATATATTAATTATCTTGCTTAAGTAACATTTCCGAATTTCTATCACTTCGAGTAATGGAAAAAATTATAAGAGAAAAATTGAGTTTAATTCAGTTATTAACTGTGATTCTCCATCAAAATAATTACATGGCTTCAAAGTTGTTATCATTCTTGATATGTACTAAAAAGAGCAAATGTTTTGCCTTGAAGAACAAAAACAAACCGGTCACAAATCATATTTCAATAAAATTTTAAATTTAAAAATATCCAACATTAACGGGAAAGTTGAAAAAAAAAGGAACCGAACGATTGTTTCAAAATCAATAATGAATATTTTTAAAGCAGCTTGAATTTGTTATATTAAGAGAAGGAAAACTTAATTGAATTAATAGTTCCTCGTGTAAGCATTAATTGAGATTTTAGATTTAATAAAAAGCATGAAAAAGAAAAAAAATTATTATATGCCGAGGAAAAGAGAGATGATGAAATTTTCTTTTTAATGAAATTTTTTTTTTTATAATGAGGAAAAATGTTGGTTTGCGTGTGAAAGGGAAATCTTTATCAAAGCAATGAAGGAAAGAAAAAGTTAAACAACAAAATGATATGCATCGCTTTTGAGGGAGAAAGAGAAATGATAATGATAAATTTAGGAAAAAACAAAAAAAAAATGACTTGAACATAATTTAAATATTATAACCCAAAAATTATTATCGAAAGATTGTTCAATAGCACTTTTTTTCTGAAAAATGATTCAGTGAATTAAATTTTTAAAAAAAGAAAACGAAATGATTATAATTTAAATGCTATAAATTTAATATTGCGATCAAAGAGTAAAGAGTGCCTGATGACAATGTAGCGACATTTTAATAATATTGGTGATAACATGAGAGCATATATATTGATAAAATCAAATGATAACTGAGCGAAGATCAAAAAAGCACTAAACAAAGAATGTATTTTGGATGTTTCATTCTTTGTCCTAACTATTGCTATACAATATTTATGCTTTCAATTTTTGTTGCAAACAAAATTCCCCATAAATTTCCTTTTAATACCTTTTTTCATAACAATTTCATTCGAAAATTTCATCGAATCACACGACTTTTGTTCATCTGAACTAACAAAGCAATAGCGCCGCAATAATTCATTTGCTTGGAAAGTCTGAAATCATTCCACTATGACTGAATAATATTGACGCACAATTATTAGTAATATTTCATTGGAAAAAAAACTAATTTCATATTTTGTAATAACGAAAAAAAAAACTAATTTCCGTTTTTATAAAATTATTAAGTAATCAAACAAAAGGTGCTATTTATTCTAAAAAAAGACAAAAAACTTTACTTTCTCTCTCTGTTCAATTTTTTCATTCAATATTATATCTGGAATTTATCTTATCATTTTAATGTTAATATTATCCTTTTTATAATCCATCCGATGTGAAGCAAATTAAACATATTCCAAAACATTTCATCATTTATCATTCAATCTCAGTCCTCTATTACTGCTTATCTTTTTAATCTTTCTTCTCATTTCTTCTCTTTTTCATTCAATCTTTCAATATTTTATGTTTTTTCAATTAGTTTTTTCACTTATCACTTCCATTACTCATTTGTTTGCACTTGTAAAATAAATGTGCAAAAATTTATATTTCTTTTTAAATAGCATTTAAAAAATTTTACTTCAATAAATGAAAAAATGAGAATCATCAAATATTTCGTGTTGAAAAACTGATAAGAAACAAAAATGCATGAAAGTTTATCAAAAAGAACTAGCATGTTATTTGCCGCTTTAAATTTTTGAAATTATTTATATACACACACATATATGTTTTTCTCATGGTCTCATTAAATTTTATTTAAAAAAACACGGTGAAATCGTTTTTATTGTAATTAATATATATGAAAACATCTGAAGTTGTTTGAATTTTTTTAAATATAAAATATGAAATTTTTGAAATGAAAATAAGTAAACAAATTGCATGAAAGAAACCAAAATAAAAAGCAAATGCATTCAGTTAATGAGTCGTCTGACTTTATGACATTCGCAAAAGCATAATTAAACGTGAAATGAAGAATGAAAGATTTAAATTTGATAAAAATAACTATTTGAATAAATTTTTCCGCACTTTTTTTTGGGAGATTAATACAGTTAATGATAATTATTGGACTGAGCAGAAATTTCTGCTACAAAGCTGTCGTAAATAGTAGTTTTAACTGAAACATAAATTTTAGCGATGGAAATTTTCTCAGATTCAATTAAAATACAATTCGAAATTTTGTTCTTCAAATCTATAATTTTTTCTTGGATACAATTAGATGAAAAGCTTATTATATTTTACATCTCAATGAATTTAACTTTAAATTGTTGAAAATATAATTATTAAACCTATTACTAAACCAGAACTTATTACAGTAAAAGTACATTTTTTTAATCTTGCTATGTAGTTATGATTTTGAATGACGAATTAGCGACGATTTTTAGTTTCTTTTTTTCTAATTTTTATTATATTAGTTATAA